GGAACCGTTAAGCAAATCACTTGGCACAGCATAACCATTTGTCTTAGCTGGTTGATCATCCACAACGGTAGGGGTCGGTCGATCAGTCACATAATTGCATAAAAAGTCTGCTTCGGTAAAATATCCCGATCATATGGATGTATCCCACTTTTTTTGAAACCTGCAATTATGTTGGAAGGTGTCATGCTTTTTTGATGAGCAGTGTTCACAAATGATGCTGTGTTATAAATTGAGGCAGTTTTACCAGGGTTTTGCATCATCCAAGAGTCAAGAGCTGCATTATAATAAGTTTTGAACGGCCCGAAAACCGCAACATCCAGTGGTTGCATTTTGTTGGATGAATGAGGAGGTAAAGTCAAAACTGAGACGCCATTCTCCTTGCACAGCATAACAGCTTCCAGGGACAAGTGACTTTCTACATTATCATAGATTAATAGAGTGGGGTTCTCTCCAGAACTGCAAGTGTGGCGAATGAAATGCTTAATAGTTTCCACAAAAAGTTCTGATGTCATCCAACCGCTAGGGGTGGCTAAGCCCAGTGTGCCTGGAGGTGCTCCTTGAATCATGTAATCCTTGAAATGAACACGTGGAAAAATCATGATTGGCGGAATAGTGCTGCCAGACGCAGAAATTATGGCCACTGTGGTGACGTTAGTACCTTTTTCTCCACTTGTAGCTTTGCACACTTGCTTGACGCCTTTTTCAGCCACAATTCGTTGAGGTTTTTGTACAGTTGATGTAGCCGTTTCATCTAAATTGAACACTCTCGTCCCATCTCCAAACTCTGGGTGCTGTTGATACAATATTTCCAAGTTATTAAAGAACACGTCTACATTCGCTTTGGTGAACGAAGTGGCACGAGACAAGCTGCAAGCCTCAGGGGTTCTTTGGCTGAGTTGAGGGTGCCTTTTCAGAAAACCGTAGAACCAGTCAATGCCTGCAATTTTCTTCAACCCCCATGATATAGGGCATGCTATTTTGTTTATCACTGCCATTTCGTATGCAACTCGTCTGCAATCTTCAACTGGTAGGCCATAAAATATTTTAGAGCACATAATGAGGTAGTTTTTTAATGTCTCCTCCTGCTCTAGTGTGAAGACTCTCCTAACTGTGTAGTTAGGTGCATATTTCATATTCTCTTTCCCATCCTCATCACATTCTTTTCTTTTCTTCACATATCTTGATAAAGTGACATAGCTCACGTTCTTCAATTCAGCAGCACGTCTTACACTCCATTCATTACCATTTCCACTGCTGCCTTCATGTCATCTTCCAAGAAGAGCCCCTTGCTACTTTTGCGCTGTCGATTTCGCACCATTTCTAAAACAAAAAGAAAAAACAATACTCACTGCACAATGAGAAACACATGGGGCACCATGAAACGTTTCATTGTGCCCCAAACTCCTGTGTTTCAAGGAACCCCAAACACGCCATTTCGGTTTCCCCTACTCTCTGCCACGAACGAGAAGCAGCAGAAATACGAAAGTCGGGCAAAAACTTAAGGCATACATATACAATGAAATGCCATAAGAGCCGATTGAATTAAATAATCACTCTTACCTGAAGGCGAAAATCAGTTGGCGTAAAATATTTACTATCACGGCGAAATACAGCACCTCACCTCGTCAAGTCTGGTACTCAACTGGCGACGTGGGAACGATTAGCTAGCTTCATTGGGAGTAGCCCGCAGCGCTTACTGCCGGAATCTCGTTGCACTAGACTTTTCTGTACGTCCGGTACACGAACTGTTTCACTGTGCCCCGTGTTCCATTGTGCCCCACCCTCCCCTATACCTCCTTGGGGAAAATTACAAGAATTTTCTGGAACTACAAAATTTTCTGGAATTGATGAAAGCTCTGCAAATGCCAAATTTCTTGAAATTGTACCATTATTTTCAGTAGAATTATATATATATTTTTTTGACATAGGTTTTTCGAAATTATCATATTCCTTCCGATTTGGTTCATTATCAATTACATTTATACCTCCTTGGGGAAAATTACAAGAATTTTCTGGAACTACAGAATTTTCTGGAATTGATGAAAGCTCTGCAAATGCCAAATTTCTTGAAATTGTACCATTATTTTCAGTAGAATTATATATATATTTTTTTGACATAGGTTTTTTTAAATTATAATATTCCTTCCGATTTGGTTCATTATCAATTACATTTATACCTCCTTGGGGAAAATTACAAGAATTTTCTGGAACTACAGAATTTTATTGAGTTGATGAGTGCTCTGGAAATGAAAAATTTCTTGAACTTGTACCATTTTTTTTTGCAGAATTATATATATATTTTTTTGACATAGGTTTTTCGAAATTATCATATTCCTTCCGATTTGGTTCATTATCAATTACATTTATACCTCCTTGGGGAAAATTACAAGAATTTTCTGGAACTACAGAATCCATTTTTTAACAGTAAAAATGCGATTTATTTATTCAGATAAGTAATAAAACACACAATTCATTTTTTTTTTTTTTTAATATAGAAACAAACTAACTTAAACTTAAATATTTACTTAAAAATGTTTATGATACATTTGAAAGCTTTCTGAGAAGAGAACTCAAAAATAACAAATTTGACAGCTTTCGAAAATAGTCTTCACTCTTCACTTGGCACAGAAGTTGCTACTTCAGAAAAATATTCTTATTAACCACTCTGGACACCGAAAATAAAACCAAAAATATGTAAATTCATACATCAAACCAAACCTAAAAAAAAACAAAGAGCCACGTGCACGGCTAACGTGTTAGTTTTATGAAGTTTTGTTATGTTTTACTTAAAAATAAAGTATTTCGTAGTTGGTGTTCTTAAATTTTGTTTATGTTAAAGGATCCAAAAGGTTAACCCGGATGAACCTTTTACAATCGAAATAGATTGAACAAAATAATTAAAAACACAAAAAAACTCATATTATTAAAAAAATAATCTGTGATATTTTCAATTTGTTCCAGAACTTGCATTACAGTTTCTTTATACAATCTAAACCTTTTAAAGAAGATCAAATTACCCATTTCGTCGAAATAATTAGTTCTATTATACAACCTCCTTCGAAACCCAAAATCAGCAATTTCAATTATTTCCAGTTCATCATTAAATATAAAATTATCCTCGGGATCCTTATTTTTGTCATAATTATAAAAAAATGTCAATGACAAAATAGGTAAGGAATGTTTAAGTCTTAAAATTTGACGGTTTTATTAAGAATAGTTTAAGGGTTTCAAAAGGACTACTTAACTGATGGTGTAATGAAAGTATGTCACTTAAATCCTACTTAACTTTAAGTAATCCTTAAATACGTCGGTGCAAACGGCCGTAAGAACTTTTTGTTTATAGCTCTATAATACAAATGTTATATTTAAAAAAAACTTTAATTTGAAAAGAATATTTTGATTTTTAGTGAAAAACATGTGGCTTGTAACCTTATTTCACTAAAAGTCGTAACTGAGCTTGTGGCATATATCATTGTTCTAACAAAAATATATACAATATTTACTACAAAAAAAAACAGATACCCTTATAAAAGAAATATTTATTTTTGGTAGAAATAAATACAAAATGCTTGATATATAAAAAAGACAGTACTGTAAGTAACTAATCTATCTTATTGTAATCAACATCTAGATGTGCTAGCATATCATTATCATCAGCATTATCCGCCAAATCCATATTATTAAATCCTTTAAGATTTTTATAAAAATTTTAATATATAGGTATAAGGCAATAGTTGCACTAAATTGGACAGTTTTTACCATTTATTTGTATGGATTCCTCATATTTAGGTTCTAGTTGCAATTGCATAATGTTTTGAAATAACCTTTGCCCCCTTTTACCTATATTAACTGCACGGAATTCTTCATTGAACAGATGTTTTACAAACATAGTATTTGGAAATTCACTATCAAAACGAAAACATCTTACACTAGAAAATTTCAGTAATTGCTTGTCGTGGCATATGTTTTTTTGAAATGTTATGAAGGCTCTTGAACGAAAAAAATTATTTTCTCTCATTTCATATACTTCAAAAGGGTTTGTTCGTTTTGCTTTTTTTACTGCATCATACCATTGTTCAGGCACAAAAACTTGCTGCATTTTTTTGTACTTTTCTATGATTGCAAAGTCTCGATCTGACGGCAAATGAGTATGACCAGCTATCATAAAGCGATGTGTACACTTTTGATCGCACGAGATTTAGCCAGAAAACCATTGCCAACCAATTTTTGTTCTGGCCTCTGCAGTTATCGCTGTAAACGAAGAGTTCTTCCGAGGTTGGTTGGTGGTTCTTGAAATATCTTAGAAGCATGCTGCATATCTCATCACTTCCTCTTTTTGCTATGGTTTCGATCCACATATACGTATACCCTTTATTGTTTACACAATCGTGTATCCCAAAATTATTTGTCCATAGTTTACGGAGATAAAAAGCTGGACCGACAGTTAAATTTGGAGTGGGTAGTGCCTGTTGTAGGTCAAACGTAAGGACATCTGCAGATCCCGCCTGTTGAACAACTTTCAAGCTGTTTTGCATAGCACTGGCCCTTCTTTGATGTAACTCAAGTTTAAGCTTAAATTTTGCTTGCTCAGTTTCATTATCTTTGTTTCCATCAATTTGAATATGCAAAGAATCGCAATCTTTGCATGTATCACTTCTGGGTAATTTAAACCCAATATTAAATTCAGTACAAAATATTCTTCTGTACTTGTCTTCGGAAGCAGGTGATAGCTGCCTGTCTCTACAAAATTGTAAATAATAGTCCTTGTATAGTCTGGATATATTCAAATCATAATCCAAATAGACCCTTGTTGGATTATCTTGTCGGCTATAGTGGCTGGTATATTTTGGTAGCAAGTTAATGTGATCCCTCACTGTCTGGATAGTTTCATCTGGGATCTTGTTCGGTCTGTTTAGATGCTTTTCTCGTTGGTCTCTTTGAGGGGTAATAGAACCCATTGTAATTTTATGACACAGCGACTGGATTCGTTTTTGCGATTTTTATAACCCGTATACTGCAAAAAATCCTGCTTTGCAAACAGTTATATCTTCACCATTAACTTTGATGTGGTACAAAATTGTACACTTTCTGCCAGATACTTCTTTTTTAGTTTTTTTTCTGTATCTTCTTTTGGGATATGTTGACTTTATAGAAGAAAAAAGATACGCATTTTGAAGGTCATAGTTACCCATATTCCAAAACGAGTGGAATATTTCTTCTTCTTTTCCTTGTAACTTTTGTCGGCAGTTTTTCTTGCATCGACATGGTGATCCCAGTATTCTGTTTTCTATTTCGTTTCCTTTTTTGTTGATGTATGATAGACCTAGGTCTCTTTTTCGCTTTCTTTTAATATTTTTTCTCGATTCTACGTTTACACTTCTCCAACGTGACTTGGAATTCCATTTTTCAGGACTGGGTATTGCAGCTCGCTGAACTGGCGGAAAATTTCTCACCTGAAAAAAGTATATATTTTACTTCAATAAAAAAGGTATAAGCCACAACAAGTTTTAGTATTTGGGTTATGTTGGTATTTGAGCTCAAAAAAAATGTAGGTAATGTAGGTATTATATTAATTTAGCTGAAAATCTGTCGTAATCAAATTTCTAAAAACAATTTGTTCTTTTTAAACTAGTAGAAACAGAACATAAACTATTTTGCAGTAAAAAGGGCATAAGCCATATTTTTGTTTACTTATCAAAATCCACATCGCTTAAATCACTATCTTCATCAGAAACAACACTATTACTACCAGAGCTTCCATCCCTGTAATCCTCCATGTTGAAAATACTGTGGCTTGTATCCTTATAACTGAAATTATCGCCGTGATTTATTTTTATGCAACAAGACTATTTTGCTGTTATGGCGCCATCTATTGGTTGATCTCGCAAATTATTTCTGCGGTGGCTTATACCTTTAATGCAACATAAAAGGTCATATCAACTCAAAAAATGAAAAAATGTGGCTTACATCCTTATTATCCCGAGCCCTTCAATTGATAGACTGGTACTTAGGATAATAATTATTAGGCTTATTCCTGTTATGTTTAAATTGACCTTTAACAAATTGGCCTTGACCCTTTCCATAGTTATCATTATATCCACGACTTTGGTAATTAACACTTGGACTATTTTTATAGTGACTATTTTCAAAACTAGTGCCAGGGCTACTAGATTAATTTTGATTATTTTTAGGCCTAAAAATTTGAATAAAATAATTAGACTGGTTATTTTTAAATTTAGTCCCTTGACCATTTGTTTTATTTTCCACCTTATAGACAACCGCTTCACTGTTTTTATTTAAATTTTGAGCCTGTACTTGTGTAACAATAATACTTTTTGAAATTTTTAAACCTTTTTCTACATTTATTGTCTCTTCCGTTAACAATTTTTCTTTAATTGATTGTAGCTTAGAACTTAACCCTATTATAAACATGTCACATAGCAAACTTTCCTGAGTACCCAACTCACATGAAAGACTTAGATTCTTCAATACTGTCATGAAGTATTCTACAGATTCTTCCTCTTTTTGAGTCCTAGTTAAAAAAATATGCCTTTCCACTGTAAGGTTCTTCTTTGGCTTACAATGTTTTTTAAACTGATTCACAACTTCCTGATAAGTACAAGTGTCCATATCCACTTCAAATGACCTAAAAATATTTCTAACCTCACCACCAATATGGTGTAACAATAGCGCTACCTTCCTATTCTCATTTTCATCTTCCAACCCACTGGCTCTCAAGTAAATTTTAAAATTGACAATCCAATTCTCCCAATTTCTCGAAATGTTGCCTTTTAATGACAATGAAGGTTTGTTGTGCCCAACTCCAGAATTCTTCATTTTTACGACTGTTTGACTGATAACTGTTTCCTATGACCCTGTATCAATATCAGACATTATTTATAGACTTTTGACTATTGACTAACAGCTTGACGACGACGACGACTGACTAATATTCCCAATCTGCCTTTTTACCACGAGGAAATCTCTTCAAATCTTAGGTTATGTTGACCAATTAATATAAAAACATCCTTTCTTTATTAAAATCGACGCGACACTTCTGACACCATGTTGTATTGTAGACAATTGTTAGGTTCAGACCTATATTACTTAATTTGTTTTAAGGATGTTAGCAGATTTAATTAAAACAAACATTCCATTGTGAAACGTGTAATTTCAAGAACCACCAATTGACAAGTAACCAGTTGACAATGATTATTAGTGAGGTTGACATTGGCGTTCATTGTTGCCAACTATAATATTAGTAAGTAAAGGTAGCTTTACATAACACTGTCAATATAAACTCAACCTAAATATTATGTTTACCAAATGTGTTCATATTTTTTTATATGAAATCTGACAACTAATTTTGTGAATATAAATGGGTGGAATAATTGAAATATAATAATAATACTCTCCCTAATTCACCCCCTTACGAGTGAATTTTAACCCCAAAAGCTGAGCTTGTGCGGGGAAAGGGACGGCTATTAATATTATTTGCCGTGGCGCTCCGGGGCGACTTAAAGATGATTGATGGTGCCATTTGACTGACAGGTGAGGAAAACCCGGAAAACCTCACCCACCATCATCGAGACGGTAATGTATGGCGATTTTTTGAAATCTGCATGTCATATCAACAGAAATTGAATTTCTATTAATACGGCACACATCAAATCCTATACCGAACGATGCAATTTAATTAAAAATCCACATGACTGTTGACTTATGTCATCAGTCATTGCATGTTTACAACTTAGACTAATTACTAACTAGACTTACAATCATAAAATGTCTTAAATCAAAATTCAAGTCTTTCTGGAGGCTTGCTGTCCCTGAACGAGACACACGCGATATTTTCGACGAAACCGAAGGCACATTTATTACACGAAGCATAGGATTCACTATTTTATTTTCAGTGTTCACACAGTGGCGTAGCGACAAATTGTGGCCCCCCGCAAGAATTGACTATGGGTCCCCTATCAAATAAATTTTTTCTATTAAAAAAAAATTGGCTTAAGTTATAAAGAAATTTAGGTATTTATTATACAACATATTAGGTAAAATATAAAAAACATAAACAAAATTAATAAAATTCTTGACAAAAAATAAAATAAAAAGATATTCTTTAAAACTAAAAGTAACAAAAATTAAACATTCTTCAGATAGCTTGAAGTATACGAATAATATAAAATTAAGCACATTTACACAAATAAAATAATAACATTTATAAAAGTTAAAATTGCTTTTTTCTAGCTTTTGCCTCTGCAAAAGTTTTAATCAAATGTTTATTATCCATTTTAGCAGCCTCTTGTGCCTCCATGGATAGCATAGACAAATTATTTTACCTTGTCTGGGAGGAACTATTTTGAAAAAGATCTTTCTGCTGATGCAACACTGACAGGAAGAATTAATAGTTATTTATGCAACAAGTGCAAAAAGTAAGTGTTTAAACACTTTTTGCACGAGTTGCATACAATATTTTTTCTACGTTCATGCAAAAACCAAAAAATGTTTTATAGAACTGCAGTTGTATTATCCAAATCATAGTAGCCGTAATCGTGTACCTTTGTTTGAGGTATTTATTTACGTTTGTTTTCATAATTTGTAATGACATTTTTAATAAAATACATTTTTTTATTAATTTATTTATTAAATGATTGAAAATAATATAAAATATGCAATTGTTTTTAAAACGTAACACAGAAAATGAAAATGGACTAAATATTTGAATATTTATGTTTGTCATGATCATAAAACGTTGTAGTAAAATGACAGATGAGTGCAATAAAATTTTTATTGCACTAGTGCAATAAAGAACCAGTTTTTCACTAGATATAGTTCAATAAAGTTTTGTTTCTTCCACGAACGTAGAAAAAAATAATAATAATGCTGTAGTTGCCTCTTCAAAATTTGAAGCTAAAGTATTATTTTCGACAATTAAAAACTGAGCAAAGCCTTTTATATTTTGTAGTGAAGCAATTTTTTTCTTTCAATGGTACCCACAAAGCGACTATTTCCAAAGGAAAAGCTGTAGAAAGATCGTTGAAATATGTTTGCTGCAAGATTTCTGCCGATTTAAATAATTCCTCTGCAGACAAAGTTATCATAACCTGGGGGCATAGAAATCTAAATTTTACGGTTTCTTATTTGATTAATTACAATATTAAAAGTTTTGTAATATATATTTGCCTTAAAGTAATTTTCTCATTTGTATTATTTAAAAATTTTGGCCCCTGCGGCCGCGGGCCTTCGCGGTAGTAACGCTACGCCACTGTGTTCACATTTCCATTAGTGGGAACATTAATTTCTTCCTCAACATTAGGCACATGAGAAACAGTATTCGGTACTAATACAGGGTAATCAATTTGAGGAATGTCACTGTTATTTGGACTATAAACCTCATGTTCAAGAGATAAATCAGGACGCATAAAATCGGCATGCACAAATTTTATCTGTACCAGATATTATGTACAAAAGCTTATAACTTTAACTATCTTTCCTTTTTGCCATAATTTATTTTGTTTGTTTTAAACATAAACAAATTCATTAATTTTATATAAAACATTTTTTCTATTTGCACTGACTTCTACAAGAATTTGACATCAGTATAAATAAGCTTTTAGTAGTAGGCTGCGATGGTACAGAGGTTAATATAGGAAGGAAAAATTGAGTTTTGCGGCATTTAGAATTAAAACTGAAACGTCCTCTGCAGTAGATGATATGTTAGCTACATATGAATCAACTGCCTCTTCGTCATATTTTTCAATATCTTGACGGAGAAACTTCAGGACCTCGTGTATACTCTGGAGCTATAGTAAAAATGTTGGGAGTCTTGCGAAAAATTGCCCGTACTAAATTTTGTTCCTATTGTTAGTCCTTTATCAGAATTAGATGCTGCAGCTATTAGAAATCTTAGCACTGATCAGAAGTACTTATATGAAATGTGTCACTCAATTTCTAGAGAAAACTTTTCATTAGATCTAGCAGCTCGTAATCCACGTAAATTATCACACGCACGATGGCTTTCAAAGGCAAACCATATATTGCGTCTTTACATCGGAAGTAAATGTCCGTCTACAAATTCAAGAACAATCGCTGAATTTGTGGTAAAAGTTTATGCGTCAGTGTGGTTTGACATTAAAAGAAAACCATCGTGTAGTGATGGAGAAAGACACATCTTCAGAATGATACAGTTGTCACGCTACTTGAACAACGAATTGAAGGCAGTCATTTGGAGAACTTTATTCTAGCAATGCTTTCTGATGTTCGTCCTGCTATAAGACAACTTGGCTTACGAATAATATTGAAGGCGTGCACAAAAATATCTACAGACGTAAGGGAATTTGTTATTTCTGAATTAGATTTCGATGCCAGTGAATATTATTAGCTTATTTATTGGGAAAATTGTTCAATTGCAACACCACCTCTTTTAAGTACTGCATCTGATGGAGATATCAGAGAATTTATAAACGATACAGGAACTTGTCCTGTAGATTTTTGTCCTTTCCCTGCCATACACAGGCACTAGAGAGGTGCGTGAAGGTAGTAACATAAACTTCCAATTCTGTTGTTGGCCATGATTTTAGAGATGGATTTATTCGTGCAGCGATTCATTCTAGAACCATTTTACCTTGATTTAATACTAAAGCGGAATACAATGCATGAATTTAATTCTTACATTTAGTAACTTTTTCTTTTCAAAATAAAACAAAAAATATTTTCTTTCTGTTTCACACCACCCTAATGTATATTATACAGGGTGGCTCACGCTCAACGGGACGGAGCTTTATGGGAAAACGACCAAAGATATAAAAAATTCGTTTGGGAGGAATACGTAGGTTACAGACGGCTATAATTTAAAATTTGTTAGATGTATACAGGATGTCCCACATAAGAGAAAATATACAAAGTTATATTATTTTTAATGGAACACCCTGTTTTTTATTTTAGAATTAAAAACTACATCAAAAATAATGTCAGTTAACTAAAGGTTCCCTATTACTATTATTATTAGTTTTCGATTTATTTGAATTTTTAAGGGAAAAAAGTCTCCCAGAAATTAATTGTTTACTCTTGTTTGAATAATTTTTAATGAACTAATTTTTTTTTCTTATGTGGGACATCCTGTATACATCTAACAAATTTTAAATTATAGCCGTCTGTAACCTACGTATTCCTCCCAAACGAATTTTTTATATCTTTGGTCGTTTTCCCATAAAGCTCCGTCCCGTTGAGCGTGAGCCACCCTGTATATTAGTGATATCCGACATGAAAACTGAATTTTTAATCAGACCAACAACCTCTTTTACTTTAGATAAAAAACTGATAAATAGAAGTATCTTTACGATTTTTAAACATAAAAGCAACTGAAAAAACCTGTCCATACTCATATAATATCAACAAAGTCGTAAGTTCAAAGTCATAGGCATTAATTCCATGTGTTCGTGTTAGAGATTTCATGTTAATCTTTAAGCCTTAGTTATATTGTTTTTATGTACTGTTCGCTAGTTTTTGACTTTGATTTAATGTAAAAAAAAATAAAAAAAATTGTCAAAATTAAAAACGGTGTATTTTTACATTAAAAAGTAGTCTTTGGATAACTGTGGCCTAAATACTTTCCAGCGATAGCGCCTCTCCTACAGGTTATGGGCCCAGAAGGAATTAATTTAGAAAATATGTCGTCCCTTCCTCCTATTACCAAATTAGTAGGACGGGAGAATTATCAAGATTGGAAGTATGGCATGGAGTTGTACCTGAAAGATTTGAATGTATGGAATTCTGTTGATGGATATCCCCCTGATGACAAAACTGATGAGGCTACAAGAAATAGAAGCGACCAG